AAGCAAGCTAATGGTTACTTTAGAAGATGTCACTAATGCACTCAATTCAATTGGAGCAAGAGATTCTAATTCTACTTAGTTTAGAAACTGTATTAAATAGGAATCTGGGATTATTTCTATTGTTTTCTGGCTGTAAAAATATGATGACCTAGCACAGTAGTGAGAGCTTGCTTGTAATTTAAAAGGCTATCTTTCAAGGCTATTCAAAATACCTCCAAATTAGTAGAGTGCCACTTGCATTACAGTTTACGAGAGGCTTGTTTGAGTGCACGAGTATGATTAGTGTACCACGATGCAAGCTTTTTTTCACTAACTCTTTTCTTCTGTAGTGGTGTGACTATGTCAAGCATATCTCGTGGAGTAGTTTATAAGCTTTTAGTAATCTGACCAAGTGTAACTGCATCAGCATGCCGGTTAATACATGTAAGTGAGGCCGGGCGCTTGTTCATAAAGTCTGTAGCAGTAGCAGAAGTAAAGACACGACCTAAACGATACCCTGGAAACCGAACAACTGGTTGGCTCAGCTGTAATTCATTGCGGAAAAGTGATCTGATACAATAAGGTTCTGAAGGAGAATAGTTCCATTTTCAACACAGATACCATAACTTAGAATCAAATCTAAAGTATGATTACCACTATGTGTGGATCCTACCACATTCTGACCAACACCAACAGAATCAAGAATAGATGTAAATTCCATCCTCAAAGATGTGCCTTTTAATTCCATGTGGATGTTAATGTTTCTAAGAATCACAGCCCTATCAATAGCCACAGATATATTCGACAAAAAATCTGAAAACTCTTTTAAGAACTCGGTATAAGGTCCTGGGGGCCTATACACAGTAATGAGAGTGAACGAATGGATTTTTTATCAGCGCCTAAGTAACATTAAGAACAAGTAATTCAAAAGAGTTAAACTTATAATCAGGCTCCTGAGACCTTCTCAAGCTTCAGTCATAAATTGTAGCAACGCCACCCCCATGGCGGTCAATACTGGGGGGTTTGATTATTACAGTAGCCAGGCGGAGTAGATTCATTTAGTGCAATATATTAATCTGGTTTGAGCCAGGTTTCTGTTCTGAGCTCACTTACAAGCACTGCCTTTGGAGAGAGTGATCTGATATTTAATAGTGCAAACTTTATTTTTACACTATTGATGTTAGCCTCATAATGTATGTTAAATTTTCAAAATATATACCATGACCCTCGATGAATTTCTATCAGGTTATTTCTATTCATACCACGGCGTTATGCTTTGCTAATATGCAATCTATTACCATAATTTAGTGCCAAACTGAACAAGTAAAACAAAAAAAGTAAGTAGTCATAACCTTGTTGGTGGCTCGGCTATTGGATCCGTTCCATATCCTTTTCCAAGTTACCTCAGTAACTTACTGCCTGGCTCTACCACCTGCTCTTAGGGTTCACCCACCTTTCACATTTCCCTACTCAAACCTTTCCACAGATCCCCTCTGTCTCAACCCCAACCCCAACCACCTCCACCCCGACTCATAGACGTTCTCCCTGCTTATACAGTTTATAAGATTCTGGATTCCTGGTGGCTCCATGGTACACTTTAATATCTTGTGTACTGGGAAGGATACGGACCAGAGGAAAGCTCCTGGGTACCTGAAAGGGATATTCTGTACCAGTCGTTCATCCAGGACTTTCACCGTGATTTCCCCAACCATCCCTCAAGGACATCAAGTGCCACCCCTCAAGGGGAGAGTAATGTAACAGTCTGCGGTAATCTGACCACCACCCCTTTAAGAAGGCGTTCTTCTCGTCCAATGACCTAACCACTCACCAACCCCTTTCACCACCACACCTCCAGCTTTTCTATACTTAAGACCTGCTTATGCTTACTGTACTGTACATCTCCACTCAGTATTTGGGTTTACCTGGCTTTGAGCTCAACCTCCTGTTTCTCAGTGTGATTTTTCTGGTTTGTGGACTTATTGGTTTCTGGACTTGGTGTTTCTATACGACTATGATTCTTGGATTTTGGCACCTTTACCTGGTGAAACCATCTCTTCCTTTAATAATGCTCTCCTTAACTCCGCATACGATCCGCTTCACTGTATTTCCTACTTGTAACATCTGCGAGTTTCCCAAAAGTTTGAAGACCCATAGCAGCGTGAAGCTAGTGACATTAAGAGACGCTAACTTAGGTGTACCTTTCAAAATAAAAGTCCTCTAAAACCTGGCTCAGAAAAATAAAATCCTGGACAAGGTAAAGTCACATTTATAGCACAACAACAATTAGTACATCCTCAAAACTAGGTGGAATGTGATAAAGAGACCCACGGCTAAGAGAAAATTGCCGTTGTTCATTCATTTTTTTCTTTTTGGTGTTTTATATCACTTTCTCTTTGCAAATTGACACAGTGCTGTGCACTGCTAGACAGGAAAAAGTCTAATTTCTGATAAAACAAACATTTGTGCCTCTCCAAATGTAGCTCAGATCTATTCTTCAGCTAATAATACATAAGCATGGTTTTGCCGGATAAGTGTCTTTACCAGTGTTGCAGGGGTTTATAACCACTTCCTGTTCCAGACGGACTGTGCAGTGGTGGACAGGGAATGGTCTCACTCCCGTCCTGACCAAACAAAAATTTGTGTCTCTCCAAAAATACCTCAAACCTATTCTACAGACCCACAGCTAACAGTTTTTAAAATTTCTTGTTGTCAATCCCAATATGGATGGACATACTAATGGTTAAAACTGCCATCAATAATCCTGGCAGCTACTTTTCAATGTCCCCGATATAGCCTGTGTTAGATGTGATATGCAAAGTGATACTCTCACTAGATTTCAAGAGAATGACCCAACTGATTTAATAATTCCACTTATGTCTTGGCTTATTTGCAGTCAAGTAAACAATAACTTTATTTCTTCCTATGTAGACTTTCTTTTGCCAGGATTGTAGTTTCTTGCATACTGAAACATGAAGTCAGTCCTTTTTTGGTTGCACAAATAGGTGAGTTTCCAATGAGTTTATCGACCCTCATACACAAGTCTTTGATAAAGAACACAGTCTCACAGAATTGCTCAAAGTGTATGCAAACAGTGATCCGAAAGCAACAATTTAGTTCTTGTCCAGAAACTATTGTGATTCAGATTCCCAGAGCACATTCCAAGGTGTGATGCATACTCAGATTTCCAGCGGCAGCAAACTCCAATTGGAATTGGAAGGTGTTGCTAAAGTGCAATATACCATCAAATCAACTATGTGCATTGAAGGAAAGTCTACAAGCAGAGGTGGACATTATTGGGCAGTACGTTCGTGCATTGGACATTGGACAGAAATTTAAAATTAAAGCAAATGACCAAAACATCACAACTCAGCCAAGACATAACATAGCCAAAGCAAATGTTGTGTTTTTCCCTAGAAATAAAGGAGGCATCAGACAGAGACATATGTTGGTGAAACCATGTACTCACAGTTGAGAATACCAATACTCATTAAACACAAAAAAACCTGGAGCACTGAACAGTTACATATCGACTCTACTGCATAGTACAACAGCACCGAAAGAGTCTTTGAAAAGCTTGCAATCAGTGACAAATAAACAGACAGCATTACCTGCAGCAATACACAGGACGTTCAAGACCCTTTTGGGATCTAAAGCTATTCAGATTTCTATAATTCAGGTACAATTGACACAGAAACTAATATTAAAGAATTTCTCGTGAAACATTTATCATCCAAAATATTGGAACATTCAGTTGCAAAGATTGCCAGGAAATTCCGATTTCACAAACCAAATACTGGAACATATGTTCTATTATTTGAGGGCATGTAGAATATATTTGAGTTACTTTTGGAGAGGCACATATTTTTGTTTTGTCAGGAATGAGACTTTTTAATGTCTAGCAATGCACGGCACTGTGTCAATTTGCAAAGAGGAAGCGATATAATAACAACAAAAATATTGCAAGAAAGCAAAAAAATTAATGAAGAATGGCAATTTCCTTTTACCTGTGGGTCTCTTTATCACATTCCACCTAGTTTTGAGTTTGCACAAATTGTTGTTGTGCTATAAATGTGACGTTACCTTGTCTAGGATTTTTTTTTTCTGAGGCAGGTTTTACAGGGCTTTTATTTTGAAAGGTGCTGCCAAGCTAGCGTCCCTTAAGGTTGCTAGCGTCATGCTACTCAGACCCGTGTACTGTGTATGAAAACTTTTCTCTTCAGTTTCCTTTAGTGCCTTAAAAAAGTAATATGGAAAATAATATTGTTACAGCTATAGGTGACTAGGACGTCCCAGCAGCCATGTCACCCTCCAACTTACAATTGGCAACCCACTGAAGCTATGCAGGTGTGAGCCTGGTCAGTACGTAGGTGGGAGACCTCCTGGGAAAAACTGAAGTTGCTGCTGGAAGAGGTGTTAGTGAGGTCAGCAGGGGTGCGCTCACCCTGCGGTCCATGTGGGTCCTAATGCCCCAGTATAATGATGGGGACACTATACTGTAAACAAGCACCGTTTTTCGGATGAGACGTAAAACCGAAGTCCTGACTCTCTGTGGTCATTAAAATTGGCTACATTACTTTGTTCTCCTCCCCACCTCCGACGGCAGGCAGCGAGACACGCTGGTTGGAGTAATCTCTTTAATCATTTGGTCAGTGATTATGGCCAATTTTACTGTACACTAATAATCCAAAATATTTTGACTTTGATTTAATCACTGGATATGTTCCTTATTTTTTTATGTCTATTGTTCACAAATTGATAGTGATCTACCACAATAAAAAAAATGCTTGAAAACATTTCTGAAAATGTAAAATGCAATATATAGTATTTCTTCCTCAAGGTGACAAAAATATTACAATTTAAGGAAAATGGACAAGATTAAAAATGTTCATGAATATTTAACAAAATAATGTTCACTTCAACATACATACAGTGTCTTCAAAATGTATTCATAGTCCAGATGAAAAATATTCATCAAATAACAAAAGATTTTTGGATTTAATAATATTTCTTGCTTTAAAAAATCTAAAAATATATTTTGCAGTAAACATAATGACAGAGCAAAGCCATATTAGTCATAAATATTTAAACCAGTGTCAATAATAACAATTTCAATCGATTTCCTATCCTATAGTAACAGGCTCAAGGCAGGATACACCCCGGTCAAGACGCCAGACCTTGGGACACACTCACACCAGGGACAATTTTCCCAGAAGCCAATTAACCACCCGGTATGTTTTTGGGCTATGGGAGGAGTCATGTGTGGACATGGGGAGAACATACTGTACAAACTCCATACAAACAGCACCCCCAAGAACTGAACCCCAGAGCTGTTAGACAGCAATTCTAAACATTACACCTCCATTTCACCCTCAATAATAATTGTCAATCATAATTAAAAATTAATCCAGAAAACAAGAGGGTCACATTTATTTACACCTACAAGTATTCCTTAAATTACATTTTAACAAAAACAACAGTATAAAAACAACAAGAATATATATATTTCTTCATATATTGAACCTTTCTTATGTTCTTATAGAGAGGACTCTGAAAGGTTTCTGTTTACTATATATATAGTATATTAATATACTTGAACTTTACTGTTTGCACTTTCAACATAGAATATTTAAGAAACAGAATTACACTACGGCTGTGCTTGTTTTATGAGATGTGTAAACATTGTCTCTGGTGCAAGGTCGCTGTGAATAATGTGATTACGTATGATGATAATTACAAATTACTTTAGGAAGGTGAGAAAAAAATATTTTATTGGTTTGAAATATATAAATAGAACAACACTATTTTCATTTCAGTAAATTGTTTTTTGAATCATTAAATGTTTAGGTTTTACTGAGGTCCACCTGTTTTATATTGTTTTCTTATCAGGGCTATACCTATTGAAGAATACGACGGATGGATAACATGGAAAAAAACTATTTTCTTTACACAAATGAATATGTCAATGACACATATGAATTTTACAATGACACATTTGGAAATTCCAATGTAACGGATGAATTTCCCAATGACAATGTTAGTTACGCAGTAGAAGTGGTATCAATGATTCTTTACACCTTGACCTGTGTCCTTGGGCTCCCTGGTAATGCATTTGTCATCTGGATAGCTGGAATGAAGATGAAGAGGACAGTAAACACAATTTGGTTTTTGAATTTAGCGATTGCTGACTTCCTTTGTTGCCTTTCTTTACCCTTTTCTATTGTAAACATTGCCCTCGACTATCACTGGCCATATGGAAATGTTTTATGCAAACTTATTCCTTCTGTGATTATTTTAAATATGTTTGCTAGTGTGTTCACTCTTACTCTGATCAGCTTGGATAGGTTTGTGCTGGTCATCAAACCAGTATGGTCTCAAAACAACAGAAGAATTTCACTGGCTTACACTCTTTGTGGGATTGTTTGGTTGATGGCACTATTTCTAAGCTTGCCTCCTTTAATATACAGAGAAACACATTATGACATATATACTAACACAACTGAATGTCACTACAATTATAATACAGATAATAAGAGAAAAATTGAAAATATGGTTCATATCACGAGATTTGTATTTGGGTTTGTGATTCCCTTTTTCATCATCATAATGTGTTATTCATTGATTGCACTGAAGGTGAAAAGCAGCCACTTTGCTAAGTCTAAGAAGACGTTAAAGATTGTACTTGGAGTTATAGTTGCCTTCTTCATTTGCTGGTTACCTTATCATATCACTGGAATACTCATTGAACTCTCAACTGTTATTGATCCACTGGTCATTGCTCTTGCCTACATTAACAGCTGCCTAAATCCTTTCTTGTATGTTTTCATGGGACATGATTTCAAGGAGACGGTCAGGCATTCGTTAAGACATGTTCTTGAAAGTGCTTTCAGTGAGGATCTGACTCGCTCAACAATACAGTCCAAAGGAAAGTCATCAAGAGATGAAAATTCTGACTTACACCTTTAAAACACAGC